CGGGCTGTATGTAACGGCACCCTAAAACTTCGTATTCATGGTGTCGCTCGTCGCTCATATTCAGCGACAAATGAGTCATGTGATTTCATATGTCGCTAACTTTGACTATCACTCGTGTAAATGGACTAAGCGATAAATTTTTTACAATTATATTGATTGTGTTGTACGTGTTGTGTAAAATAAATACTCTAAAATGTCATATCAAGAAAGATATCACAAGTGGATCTGTCAACTTGCCGCAATTGTGTATAATAAAAATGAAGAGGAATGACGGAGAAATAAATTAATAGTAGCTGTATGCATTAATGAATGTACAAATTTGAAAAAAAAATATAAAAAAAAGAGGTTTTGGATTGATCCATTATTTGAAAGACGACGTGAACATGGATTTTATTATGTATCTGTGCCGAGATTAACACCAAAGAAGTTCCGGAATTATTATCGTATGACAGCTACGCAATTTGGAGTTGTTACACTTAGTGGCACCTGCAATCACTAAACAAACCGTGATTAGAAAACCATTGCCTCCCGCAGAACGATCATCTATAACATTGAGATTTACTTATCTTTATTTATAATTGCATTACGTCATTAATTAAAAAAATTATATTTGATCTAATTATATTTAGATATTTAGCAACTGGCAATTCGATGCATTCGATGTCGTATCATTATCTTGCTGGAGTATCGACAATAACCCACACGACACATGGACGCCCGTTGGGCGTCCAAAGGATGCTCTGAGCTTTCCGAATGGGCGCCCATTTCATGCCCCAAATATGTCCCATGGATGCCCGAAGGGTGCCCAATGGATGCACCAATGACCGCTCATTTGACGCCCATTGGGCGCTCATTTTGTGGACATTTGGACACGAAATGGACGTGCTTTGGGCATGTTTCGGATCTCTTCAAATTTCGTCAGCGCCCATACGCTGATCATTCGACGCCCATACGGTACCCATTGGGCGTCCATTTGACGCCCGTACGACGTCCATTTCTAATCAGGATAGAGAATAAAGCACATTTTTATACTTTTTGCAAATTTTGGAAATTAACTATTGCAATAAAAAATAGTTAATTTCCAAAATTTGCCTCTGTTATGAAAAGGTACATAGG